TAAAAGGAAAATTGGTTAAAAATCCTTACTTGTAAATTTAATTGGCTAAAAGACCTGAATTAAAGCAAATATAACTATGATTTGTAAGCACAACATATCTTCTGTTGTGTGTAACATGTCATCAATAATGTGTAACAATTATCAATACTAAAGTCATTCGCCCACAGCAAAAGATATACTACACAAAGCAGAAGATACGTTGTACTTAGGATCATACTTGTACGTGTTCAAACTCAGATCCTTTTAGCCAATTAAATTTTCAAACAGGGATTTTTTTTACCAATTTTCCCTCATATAAACTCAGATAATGCTCTCAAGAATTAGCTTCCAAAGTTGCTTTTAGAAAATGAAAGGTTTTCCCTGAAAGCATCTTTTATTGCAATGGTAGAGTAGAAGTGCGTTAGGCCCAAGTAATGAGATTGGGATTATGTTAAAAAATAAATTAAAATTCACTTACAGCAGACATATCATAACGGTTTTTTTTTTGGGAAAAAAGATATTAGATATGTTCAATGGGCCAAGAAATTGACAGTCTCTAATCTGATAATAGATATGATTTTACTAAATTCCTTATTTACGAATTTCTAATCTGCAAGCTACCCAAAAAAATTATTTTTTTAAATAACATAGGTTCTGTATAACTAACATTTCTGTTTACCAGAAGTTTCATATTATGCTTTAATTAAATTAATTTAAAACAAGTAACTAAATATAGTTAGTGATAAATTAATTAGAGATAAGGGAAGAGAGAATTAGGCACCACAAGATCCAGTCCTCTTGAAATCTACTCAAGAGATTTTCTCATCATAAAAATCCATTATAAATCCTAGTAAGTTCTAAAGCGAGCTCACCTACAACTCTTACAAATCACAATTTTAAAATTTCAATCTACTCACATTTCTTTCCTTTTTTTTTTTCCCCGCCAGACTGACTAGTCACATTTCCATCCACTCTCGCCGCTTAGGTTATAAGTTTGACTTTAATTAAAAATGCTATGTGGCATAAGGGGGGAAAAACCTTAAATTAGCGGCAAGTTTGTTTAAAAAAAAAATCACAAAAAAAGAGATTTTAGCTAGGCTAAACGTAAAACAGTTGTTGGAAGTATAAGGCAATTGTTGAGAGAATTTAAGCTAGTTAAACATATAGTATAAGGGATATGTTGAAAAAAAAAAAGGGGCTTATTTGAATAATTCAAGTATTAAACTTAACTAAAAGCGTTTTTTTCTTTAATTTTAAACAAATTGTCCCCAAAATGATTTTGTCTCCCATTAAAAAGATTCTCAGAGTGCTGCGTCTGTACAATACGATTCTTCAATATTTGTTGTCATGATATACGACGTAAAATAATTAATTGACTTCAAGAATGAGTTGACATTTTTTTCAGGTGACAAAGTTTAGGTGAGCTGACTGTCAATATTCATTAGGACTCAGAGTTAGGGCATGCCTTTAGATTCAATGAGTGCTCACAAAAGCACGTATAGATTGCCCACTAATAAGGTATTTAGATCGGCAATTTCAACCGACAAATTTGTAAGTTATGAGCCAACTCTTTATTAATTGGACAAACTTTTGTTAGTAATTTAAATATCTCCATGCGTAGAACACTAGCGGGCAAAATCTTTATTTTTAATTGTTATTTTCAAATTTTGATGTCTTATGTGTCAAGGAACAAAAAACCAAACCAGATACTGAATTGTTCGAGATAGTGGGTCAAGAGTTGATAGTCAGATAAAGGTTGGACAGGCCATATTAAATAATAAAATTTAATTGACAATAACAAAATAGAAAAATATTTATAAAAAATAATCACTCAACAAAAAATAAGAAACTGCAAAAATAGTTTAAATATTTAATTGTAACAAAATAACATTAATAAAAATTTTCTTGAGTGGCTCAATTCCAAACGCCATCTAAAAATTTCCTCATACTTCTTTTTTTGGGGACTCTCATTTTTGCGGGCCACCTCTGAATTATTACTCTGCAGTTACCCCTTCTCGATCTTCATCTGGTTACCCCTCAGTCACTTTTCTTACAACTCAATTTCATCGGTATGAGATGAGGTTCATAACAAATATCGAATATAAGAAAGCTGGAAAATTATTATTGTAAAAACCCATATATTATTATACTTTTGCGGTTCTTAATATATAAGCTAATTAGGGAGTTAATATTGGTTCTATTATAAGACTTATTTCATATATTTATGAATTTTTTAATTAACACTATCAATATTCTCCTAACAATAACCACGTAGGAGAGGAAGGGAGGAAATTAAAAAAAGATATGTAGGATGTTTTAGAAAAAACATATCATTTACCTAATTTAACTAATATTCTTAGTCTACTCAAATCAATTAATTATGTCTTATATTAAGGACAAAAGTAGTGAGCTCCAAGCCAAGTCTTTTGTTTTAACATTCAGTATATAGCAAAAGAAAATGATAGTATGTCTTATCCGCAAGCAGTTTATGTTTTGTGTTCTTTTTCCCATTTTCACGTGTGGAATTAGTTTTGGCTTCAAAGCTACCAAGAAGTGTTGTAGCAACATATCATCAAAAGCTCACTAATTTCAAACTTCTCAAGGCTTCACATCAAAATTTCCAGGCACTTGATATAACTTCACGTCCTCTATGCATGGTTATTAACAGTAAACTGAACCATTTAATGAAAAAATGCCGAGTCTCGTTAAATTTTAAGAGTAATATATGGAGGATGAAAATATATTAGGAAAGATGATATATCATTTACTTGTAATGATAAAGAATACGATTTGATAGGATTTTAAATAAGTTTAGTAGTGTTTTTAATGAAAAATAAATAAGAATTTAACATTACTCCTAACATACGCCCAATTAGTCATATTTAACATATTTATTTTTTAAAGTATTAATTAATATTTTCATTCTATTAAGAATCAATTGGGGTATATGTACAACATGCCTCCTCCCTGAATATCTCAAAAGGTTCACCTCTGATAGGCAAAAGCTGGATACTGCAATGAGTCCAAAGGAAACGGGCCTGGCTAGATTGGAAGATGATGAGGCAATATAAAAGGACAATATATTTTTGAATCAGAAATATGTGCTGAGAAATGAGGAAAACCTTCTTACTGTTGTTCCTGGCGATTCAAAGCTATTGAAGTTCATATGTCAGCAAAAGGATTTGTTAGACAAAGGAACTAGATGGATTTTGAGAGATGGGCATTCTATAAGCTTCTTTAATGACTTCTGGCTCTTCCCAAACAGGAAAATTAAAGATTGGGGCCTACGAGATTTGTCTGATGAGGAAAATGAGAGTGTAGTGGCGGACTGGGTGTCAAACAGATCATGGGATTTTCAAAGACTAAAGTCAGTGGTCAATAAGGAAATATTACAGAGATTGATGAGCATTCTAAGTCCTTCTGATGCCGCTGGACATGATTTAATGTCTTGGAATGCCTCTAGTAACGTAATTTTCAGTCTTAAGAGCGCTTATTATCTTCTGGAGGAAAATCCATGCTCTCTTTATAATCCAACTTTCAACCTTATATGAAAATGGAAAGGGGTTGAAAGGGTTCGAGTCTTTCTTTAGAGAACCTTTCTGGATAGACTGCCTACAAAAATATGGAGAAGTAAACGGTCGCATTGTTCTGCCTTATGTTCCCACTGTATGGCAAGTAATGAGGATATATTACATATCCTAAGGGACTGTGATTATGCAAAAGACTTATGGCGGGGAATTGTGAATCCTCTATATTTCTCGTCTTTTTTTCCTGCTTCCTTATGTGATTGGATGTCTTTGAATCTTAAGAAGAATATGGGGAGAGATGGAATTGGAAAATGGGACTTAATTTGGGGTGTTGCAGTGTGGAAACTTTGGCATTGGAGGAGTGAAGTTCTATTTAACAACAACTATGTGAAACCTGATGATCCTCTCAAGGTGATTTGCCATATTTGGAAGAATTATGTATTTGAACCTGAGATTAAGGATTATGATGATAATGTAAAAGCTGTCATGACTTGTGGCTGGTCTCCTCCTCCTCCTGAATGGGTCAAAATAAATGTGGACGGTGCAGTCAATACTCATTCGAGTGATGCTGGATGTGGGGGAGTGATAAGGAACCATAAAGGTGATTGGATAGTGGGATTCTCTTGTAAGATCAGAAAATGCAATGTTCTGGATGCTGAAACATGGGCTATATTTAAGGGCTTGAGCTTGGCCTTGGATTATGGGTCTAAACAGATCATTCTGGAATCTGATGCTAAATGACTGATTGAGCTGCTGACATCAAAGGAGGCTACTTTAAACTGCAGCCTTACAGTACTGCGAATACAGGATTTATTAAAACGCAGTTGGGAAGTCCATCTGAGGCATACAAATCGAGACAGTGATGGTGTAGCCGATCATTTAGCAAAGAAAGGAATTTCTACTTCAGCTTTATTTGACACGTGCCCCTCTTGAATTGAGGGTCATTGTGGAAAAGGAGAGCTTGGGATCTAGTCCCCATCTACTTTAGTTTTATTTTGGGCGCAGCCCTCTCTTGTATTAAAAAAAAAAAAGGGACAATATAAGCTCAGATGAGGCTCTCATGAATTAGCTTCCAAAGATGCTTCACAACCCTACCGGTACAACTTTAATCTAACCAATTAAGTTTCAAACTCAGATCCTGAGAAGGAAATCTCTTTAATGTGGGACAATAGTTTTTCACAAACTCTCACGATAATGTGCATATAATAAATCACAACAATGGTAACAGAATATATGATAATATGAAATTTTACCAAATTCCTTTTTTATGAATTTCTAGTATGCCAGCTACCAAAAACATTATTTTATTTTTAAATAACATAGGTTCTGTATAAGTAATATTTTTGTTTACTAGAAGTTTCATATTATACTTTGATTAAATTAATTTAAAAAACTGTGATAGTGTTTGTGTTAGATGAAACAAACAACTACATATCGTCAGTGATAAATTAGAGATAAGCTACAAGAATTATACTAGTTCAGTCCCTTGTCCTATATCTAGTCCTCTTGAAAACTACTGAAGAGATTTTCTCACCATTAAAATCCGATTATAATCCCACTAGATTTTGCAATGAGCTCACCTACAACTCTTACAAATCACAATTCCATAATTTTTCCATAACTTACTCGTAATTGGTAACTAGAGTTTTACACAGTTCACTCCAAACTAAAACAAAATGTGCAAAAAGTAGTTTACAGCTGATAGGAAATGCAATTCTGCCTCATGAAAATTGTTAATTCCATAATACCCACAAAGCTCTTAATGTTGAAGCCTAAAGAAGCACAACACCAGGAATAATCAAATTTTCAATCCAAACGTAAAATGAGCAACAAAGTAATGCTGCTTTTCTGGTAACATGCAGAAATAATGACCATTGATAATTTTTCGCCTGTAACTCTTGAATTAGCTAAAGGGGATTCCTATAGATATTAGCTTTTTTCCCCGCCTTCCTTGTTCCTCATATGACTCTTCAAAACAGAGCAATTCAACAAGCTCCCTCACCTATTTTGACATGATTCATTAAAACACAATATTAGATTAAATTCAACAACATATGAATCCCTTCAATCACAATAATTAAAAAAATGCATTACCTAAGATGTGGCATCTTCAAGAAACATTTGGCCATTTCTATGCTCATTGAAAGCCAATAACATTCTGCTTGTGAAACTTTAGATCAAGTCACTGAAAAAGGGGAAAAAACAACATCCAATAAAATAGGGGAAAAAAAACCATCAGCCAAATTTTAGCTTTGTGCCTTACAAGCAATTTGTGAATATAAAAAATACTCCTCAATTCCTTAATATATGATCTAATTGGAGAGTTTATATTGGTCTAATATGTAAGACTTATTTCTCATATTTATTATTTTTTTTCCTCGATATTTCCTCAATAACACTCAAGTAGGGGAGGGAAGATAGAATTAAGAAAGATGCTTAGAGTTTTTTGGAAAAAAATATGCCATATTAACTAATTTAATTAACATTCTTCTTCCTTTACTCAAACTAGTTAATTAGGTTTTATATTGAGGATCGAAGGAATATAAGCTTCATATGATGATTATATTAAATTAGAAACATTTAAATTAGTAACTTTCTCCAAAAAGCAAGGAGGCTCATGCAAATCAGGCTGGCTGATCCTTTACCTTGAAACAACAATCTTGAGACGGTGATCGATGCCACAAAATCCTCAAGGACAGGCATGTTAAAGGAGGCTCTGCAATCATTTTGAATTACCCCCAAATGTGACAAGCATACGCATCTCATATATGCCTGCATAATAATTGTAAATTTTATTTTTGAAAGAGACAAGAAGATTAAACGTTCTAGCTATAATTGTAAATTAAATTTTAGACAATAGTTACCGTAGTAGCACTATTTTTGTCCTGATAAATCCTACGTCTTCGTATAAAAAGAAAATTGAATAGCTTGTTTCACAAGATTCATACTTTTTTTTTTTAAAAAAAAGGAGAGGCATTGATATGATGTTATCGGGTGAGCAAATTTTTTTTGAGGTACAAGGGAGCGGGCTCGAACCTGCACGCACACACCCAACACAGACCACACACACTATTCGGCCAAGCAGCCAGTGGTCGGGGAGCAGATTTTTGAATATGTTTGCCTGTTTGTGTGTGTGTGTGTTTTTTTGGGGGGGGGGGGGGGAGGGGTAATAGGCAAGATCTAGCCTTATAATGTTGATATCGATTCAATGATGAAGAAAGGAACTATCATAGTTTTCATTTGCGTTGCGAACGAGGGAAAAAAAAAAAGGAAAAAAAGTACATGCCAATAGATACTAATATGTTTATTTGTTGTAAAATTTGAGAGCTCACCTTTTGAAGAAATGCGACATCTCAAGGATCATAATATACTCCTGTTTTAATGTATGATTTAATTATTGACCTTCAAATAATTAGGCATATTTCCGAACGTAAGAATCTCCAAGGATGGAAATGGCTTAAATGAAGAGGAGGAAATTCTTCCTGAGCTCCTTTTATATTGTCTAACCTGGTAACATCAAAACAAAGAATCAGATCCACTAAAATTAAAAGCTTTTAGATATTTTTATAAGAAAAAAAACATGTAACATTTGAAAAAAAAAAAAAAAGGACTATTATTTAGCCAACCTCAACAACTGGGTTAGCTTTTGCCTGACTTCTTTGCATATCATATCTCTCTCCCTTTTATTTAAAGCATAATTATACTGCTTTGTCATCTCCTCAAACCTGATTCATCAAAACATAATAAATCTTATAAAATCAGAAATATTACTTAACAAATATATCATAACCCCCATCTCATTAGTCATCACAAACATAAGAAAGCTGAACAAACTAGAGACCCATCTGTGACAAAATCAAACCTCCTATGCGACAAGGCTGTGTGTGTGTGTTTGTGTTTCATACTTAACTCATCATTAGTATCACATGATAACTAATTATTGACCATTGCAAACTAAAAATGACATCATCGATTATTCTCTCTCTTTCTTCAGATGTGCAAAAATGGCATAAAAATCTGCTTATTCAAACGAAAATCTAAAACAATAAGTTGGCAGAAGCATGATATGATTTTTGTTTTGTTTTTATAAAAAGAAAGATAGAAAGGTGGAAGTTGCTAGCTTTAACTTAAATCTCACACAAAATTACCATAGCAGTGATATTATTATGTTGATAAGAAAGCACAGCAGTACTTCAAATTAAGTCACATGCTTCAGAGGACTAGAAGTTTTTCGGGAAAAGAAAAATAGCAGACGCAAAGATGGTCCTGCAGGCTGAGCAAATTTTACAACTTGAGGTATATGTGATGTAGGAAAGATGCTTCCTATAGGCTATAATATTGATGGATGCCATAATCATAACGGGAAGACAAAATTTTTATGTGCTTTGGGGAAATGATGAGAACGTAATTGCAAGAAAAAAAAAATACTGAAATGTTTTGGAAATCGAGAGCTTACCTTTAGATGGAATGTACCAAGGATCATGGTATTCGCCATTAATTATTATGGTGGGAATATGAGTGATCTTGGACAAGTGTCTGCCTCCTTGAAAATGGTATCTTGCTTCTAATTTAGGACAGCTCCAAATATTCAGAAACAAAAGAGAGGATGGCAGGCAATCTTCTGGCAAGGATTCAAGCTTTGGACAGCCATAAATGGAGAGCCTCTTTAGAGAAGTAAGGCGGTGAAGCCCTTTTCCATCTAACAATTCAAGATTGTGGACATCAGAGATGACCATACGCACAAGAGAAGTGGGCATCATTTGATTCTTCAGTAAATTCTGGAGAATATTTTCAATTCCACTACCTTCAACCTCAAACTGAGACAAAGAAGTCAGACGATGAAAGCCCCAATTTTCAAAAGGTATTGGAGATAGTCCATTGCAGCCAGGAATGATCAAATATCGCAAGTTAGAAGGCAAGCCACATTGAGGTAATGATTCCAAATTTGGAAGCCATTCAAGAGAAAAGAATTGAAGGCTGGCAAGGGAATTAACATGTACTTCTGACATTGATCCAAGTTTTTGACAATGGTGGACCGCTAACTTTTCTAAGGAAAGATCGGACCTCCCAACATTTGTAAAGGTCTCCAAATTATGACATTGAAAAACTACAAGTTTTTTAAGCCTGGGAAAACAATCTAATGGAAAGGATATCAAGGAATGACAGCTATTATCAATTATCAATTCTTCAATTGATGTTTGGCTTCGCCAAGATTCCTGAGGCATGAACTCTAATTTCTCACAGTCTTGAATTAGAAGTCGTTGTAAAGAAGTGGGTAGACTGTCAGTTGGGAAGAACATGATTGATGGGGCACCAAAGAGAAACAACTCTTGGAGACAGTGGCAGTTCACTGTCATTCTCGGCAAACATTGCAAATTGTAACACCTTTGAATTGTCAGATGTTTTAGAGAGCTGAGAGAATAATCATCAAGGGCTCTCAATAAACCTTGTCCCCCTTGTAAGATTTTTAACTCTTCAATAGATGTGATCCATTGCGAAGATAATGATTTTGCCTCCAACTGTTCACAATTAGATATATAAACCTTTGTCAATGATGGTAGTTTCACAGGCATGTCTCCCCTCAACATAGGACAATAAGATAAACGCAGTTGTCTAAGATGAGGAAAAGGGAATTTGGCAGCTTCACCTTCAAATGGTATCCACTCCTCCCAAACTGGCATATCTTCAAATTCCAGAATTTCCAATAATGGAAATGGTTGAAATGAAGAGGGCTGAACTCTGTTGTAGTAGAACTCACGCCCAATTATCTGTACTAATCCCATTCTTCTAATCAAGAGCTCTTTGAGAGAAGGTAATTGTCCAAACGGTGGGAGTGAAAAGCAATATTTGCAGTTACTGACAGATAAAAAGGTAATATATGTAAATGAAGAATCACCCACCCACTTTGGAAAACTAGTGCCACCATAATAGTCTATCGTCAGTCTTTGTAAATTTGTTGAAGGTTGAAGCATGTCAAGTAACATTTTCACAATCTGTGAATCTTGAGTATCATCACCGTCCCATTTTAACACTAAATCCTCAATTTTCTCTCTCCTCCTCAAGTTTGCATCTAAAGCATCCTCTGAATCCACAACATTTTGTAGCTTCAAAATGGAAAGTTTACCTTGCAGATGAGGAAGTTTGTTTAACTCTTTAATTCCTAATCCATTTGATAGTTTGCCCACCATAAAGCTACTCAAACTTTGAAGATTTTGTAATTCTGTAATTTGTGTTGGCATCTCTTCCAAAGCTGTGCCGCTAATGTCTAGGTGACGTAGATTAATAAGATTTTTTATCTTTTCTGGCAATTCAATGAAATTCCTACAATATGATAAAAGCAAGGTTTGCAGATTGTGAAGTTTAAAAAATGCATCAGGCAACCTTCTAATTGGAGTGTAGGAAAGGTCAAGATATCTCAAATGCTGCAAATCACCAATTGAATCAGGCAACTCATTGACATTGTCATAACAAGACAAAGATAATACTCTCAAGCGTTTTAATCTCGGCAACAAATCATGTATCACCTTTCCAGTCAAATAGGATGGAAACGCCCAGCCATACTTAGATTGAGGTAAAAAAGTCCTCAAACAATTTAACTGATCAAAATTCTCGAACATTTGGCACCATCATACCGTTTTTCTAGTATATGATAAATGACGAAGAGTTTTTGGAATTTCATTGCCTTCAAACCATAGACAACTCTTTCCGATACAACTTTGGCTAAATCATTGATGAGATCATGCATCAAAAACTTTCTTGGATCACCTTCATATTGTTGAATGAATGACCTAGACAATAATTCATTGAAGCACTCATCTGCTTTTGCCTCCAATGTTTTCTTCCCATGGGAGTGTGGAGGAACAAAGCCTTCAGCCATCCATAACAAGACCAATTTTTTTCTCCAACAACAGATCTTTCGAAAAAATTGAGCAATAAGCGAAACATTTCTTCAAATGTGATGGAAGAGCGAGATAACTCAGACGCAAAGCTGGTAAAACATCATCATTTGGTATGTCCCACAGGTTGTTATTAAGAATTTTATTCCATTCCGTTGCATCCACTTTTGAACGTAAAAGACCTCCTATTGTTTTAGCAGCAATGGGAAGGCCACACATTTTCTTGCAATTTTTCTTCCAATTGCTTCTAGCTGTGGATATTTATTTGGATCTTCATTTGCAAATGCATGCTTGGAGAGTAAAAACCAACAGTTATCATCTGAGAGACAAACTCAATTTATGTACGGGAAATGTATGTGTGATTTCAACAACTCTTTGCTGGCGAGTTGTTATGATGATCTTGCTTCCCCTTCTTCCACTGTGAAAAGGAGTTATGAGATCATCCAATCACTATACTTTTCGTTCCATAGATCATCCAACACTATCAAAAACTTTTTATTACTTAGTCTATTTCTTAATTTAACACGAAGGTAGTCTCTATATGTGCTATTATAGACTTTTGAAGTGATGGACTCAACAAGATTTTTGGTCAACCTGAATAGGTTAAAATCATTTGAAATACAGGCCCAAACCTTTAAATCAAAATTGTCCTGGACAGTCTTATCATTGTAAAGGAGTTGTGCAAGGGTAGTTTTACCCAAGCCTCCCATACCCAAATAGTGATCACTCCTATAGCATTACCCTTCGGATCTTCATCACACAGAAGCATTTTCAATAGTTTCTCCTTATCATCCTCTCTACCAACCACAACAAATTCATTTACCAATGATGTTGTAGGTGTTTTATGCCCTCTCGTGCTAACACTTTGCAAACCAAGGATATCCTTTTGTTTGACAAAGTTTTCAAGCCTTCGAGATGTTGCTTCTAGCTTGGAGTTCATCTCCAAATAAAATTGACCAAAAGAAGGAGAAAAGAAGGATCTCACCTTGTTTGTGACACCTTGAGAATCTTTCTTCATCTTGCATCTTAGAGACTCCGTGTGGATTTCATCCAGTAAATCCTCTGCATCATAAACAGCATCTTTCAGTTCTTCAAGCCATTTATTGATTCCATCATTGGTAATCTGCTTCTCTTCTGCATCATTGAGGATAGCATCAAGCATCAACAAAGTCATCTTCAACTCATCCAAGAGAGATACATTCAACTTTCTGTTTTTCATGAAATCTCGAAACTCGCTGGAGGTAATCTCTCCAGTAAGGTCTGCAAAGAAGCAGAGAGCAATGCTTGTCCACAGCTGCTGCAGCCATAGCCTTTTTGTATGGTGGCCGAGATAATGAGAGTGAACAGAGTTTGATCGGAAGAGATAGAATGAAGCTAGTTTAGATTAATCGAGAAAATTAAACCATAAATGTGGACGTTTAATGACTTCTGACCACGGTGTGCCTCAGTACATTCTGGGAAATATCCATCTGCTTCTCAAAATGATACAAGGGGGATATTGCAAGGAAGATAAGAAGGACATGTGTTTTTAATATGGTAGGCCATGCCCAGTGACATTTCCGTTTTTTTTCTTGAAAGAGCCTACGCAAGAATAATTAATTGTCCCAAAATCTTTATTTATAATTGTTATTTTGAAAATTTGATGTCCTCAATTATTTTTGATCCCTCAGATAGTCCCAAATATCATTTTTCCTAATTGTTTTGGTTAGACTACCTTCAATCCTTAATGTAAAATCTAATTGACTAATTTGAAAAGATTAAGAAAGTTACTTAAATTAGTTATTTGTAATAAATAGATATTTTTTTTAAAAAATACTCTTATTAATGTGTGTCTAAATTACAATTAACAGTAACTCATCAACATAAAACTACTATAAAGATTACTTGAAAAAAAATAGATAAATATTAGAGACAAAGTGGATTGATGTTTATATTTAAAACTAAATTAAAAGCTAAACTAGCTTTTATATTAATAATCAAAGGTAGTAAATACCCATTTTTCTATAGGGAATGCGGGAAACTAAATGTAGTGAATTGAAGCTAATTCGATAGTCAAATTAAAATAGAGAGCACGCTATTTTTTCAACTCAAGGGTCGAAAAAAACAATGCGGGTTTTGAAATAAAAAAAAAATCATTTGCAAAACAGGTAAAAAAAAAAAAAGGTAAAAGAAAATATCTATGTCTCGTTCTATGTTAATCAAAAGGTTATGAGAGTAGTACGCTATAGATTGGATTTTTAGATTGAATTCTTGATTATTTGTGTCTTTGATTAAAATATTGATTTTATTTGCTTTCATCATATTTTCTGTTTCCATCATAACCCTCTAAATTCCTCACCAACGTGAATGGGAAAAGACAATGACACGACATTCAATTGATAGAGGTAATTCAAAGTTGCCTCTTTCTTATCTTATTTGAAAGGACTAAACAAGAACCATTCATTTTCGACAAAATATCTTCTAGCAATGAAGTCGAATAAGAAATACTGTCATAAATTATAAACTTTGTTTGTAATCTTAAATGAAGTTTTATATTTAGTAACGGAGGCTGTATTAAGTAATTAATTTATAGATATTAAAAAATTAAGTTAGTTATCTCCAAAATATGCGTGTTATTCCTTTAAAAATGTTTAGTTTAATCTTTTACATTAGAAAATCTCTTGCAAAAGTTGTTTTTAGTATGTATAATAAATAGGAATAATTTGACAAAAGTTAAAATTAAATTAGTACTGCAACCAATAAGAATAATTCAGAAAAATTTATAATTTGAGAGACAAACTTGATTGAATTATATCCAAGTTCTTTATATTCATTATGTTAAGTTTTTTAATTACATATGACCGTGTATTTCCTTTTTGTCATATGGGTTTATAGTTTAATGATAATATTTTAAAAATAGGATATGTGGCAATGTGTGATTAGAAACTTGAATATAATAGATATAACAACTTGATATAAGTATTGTGTCTCAAAGTCAAAACAAACTCTCAACTAATTCATATGTTTAGGGTGAGAAAGACTGTTTATTATAGAGGATTTCAAAATTCAAAAATGATTTCCGATGAGTTAGATTCTATACTTTTTGCAGGCTAAAGTGTTTGA